CACGATGTAACCTATGCCAAAAAATAGCACCGGAACGCAGGGGAAGCCGGCGGCATGTGCCGGTGTCCAGGGTGATCGGGTGCGGTATTGTGACGGTGTCACGGGGAGGAGCGCCCGTAGTCATGCCCCGGGGATGTAGCCATATCGGTGAACCTCGTTAAAAAAATCTCGGTGTCGTGCTCGTGTGATTGCTTGGTCCTCGAATGATCGACGATATGCCTCGGATTTATTCTAACAGTTAACATGATGCATCTCGCTCCCCACCCGGTCATCCAGCCAATGGGTTGATGCGTCTGGAAGCATCTTCAACCTCAAATCACCTCGCCCATCCCCTCGACACGGTCAACTCGGAAGCTAGGCTATGGGCTCTGGTGGGCGCGGCTTGGCCTCTGAGTTTCCTCCCGAGGGAGTCACAACTAGCGTCTATGGGCGGTGTGGTGTGCAGGGACGGTGGCCTTCATTGGGCTATTGTACGTTGGATGTGGTCTTCATTGGGCTACTTTACGTTTGAGTGTATCCTTGTTAGGGCTTGTGATGACTCTTTTCTTAATCAATGCAACAAAACGTAAAGCTTTTCTCGAAATAGATACGGCTTTGCTCAATGACGATGTCTGCCTTTCATGAGCCAAAACAGGTGGTTATAATGTTGTCCCAAATATGGCTCCCTACAACCTGTATTAATTGTCGATCAACGGATGTATGTAGCATTGAAGTAATCCTAGATACATTTGTTTAAGAGATAATTACTATGGCACTAGCGGTTGGGGTCCGCCATTGCGGGCCGCTTGAGAGGAAGCTATGCGCACCTCATCATTATGTTAAATTTTTTTAAAAATATTCTTGCATCACATGGACATCACAACCATCTTAAAAGGAAAAAGAAAGAGCCAGGAAAAACTCTTATGGAAAAAAGGTCTCCCCACCATTTTTAAAACACTAAAAAGACCTTTGTGACCAACCAGCATGCGACACATGGCGTAGCTGGTTGGCCACCATTCTAGTGCCTCTTAATGGGTTTAATGGAGAGAGTAGTTTTTATGTAATTTACTAGTACTATACTAGCAATGCCCGCGCGGCGGCACGCCGCGCCCCGTCGATTCATTGTGTTTATATATTGTTTGTATGTATTGTTTACAGCGAAACTCAATTACAGCAAGAGACCTAGATAGGTGAGTGATGTTCTGGTTTGTTCAAAAGTCAGACCTCTTCATCATATATATGATTATTTCTCGTTTCTTTTTTCATAATAATTGCTGAAAGTAATTGATATTATGAAATTAAATATCCATCGAACAACAATGAGAGCTCTAGGATATAGAAGAACTAATATGTGTGCACAAATCTTTATTCAATGTTGCAATAATGCGTAAGTAGTAAAAGAAGATGACACAATATACCTGAAAAGAAACATGCACATCCTTGTTTGGTTTTGTTATTGCATACAATTTCTTATTTGTACCTACTGTTGAACGGTGTACTTCTTTCTTGCTATATTGGTCTATATTTCCTTTATATTGGTTGAAGGAAGCAAAAGCTTAAAATGTTGCCTTGGCTATGTTGTTGGGCTAGATGCTCGCTAAAAGTGTTGGAGTGTTTTAGTAGAATAGGACCCCTTGACAATTCTTCCTTGTATACAAAACAAACG